TCCCGTAACAAGAATCTCCTATTAAGAAAGATTTAAAGCTTTAAAAAGGTTTATATATTATAGATCTAATATCTAAGAAAGTTACAAAACCCTTTAATATAATAGTAGTAGATAAATCAATAATAGAAAAAGAGGAGGGGGTTATACGGTTGAAATAAGACTAATAGATCAAATTTTTTATAAAATTTAAATAAAAAAGTTTTAAATCTTCTTTTCTAATTTATTATATTTTATTATATTTTTAAACAATTTATAACTTTATATTTTATTGAATGTATTTATTATTAAATATTAAAGTTATTGTAGGATGAGTTTAAAAACGTGTACGATATAGGGATGTGTACGATGTAGGGATATCGGTTACCATTGCGCGTTCGTTTATGGAAAGCCTCAACAGTCTCGTCTCTCTAACAAAGAAACAGTAGCAGAACCCCTCGTCGTACTCGTTTTCAGACAAGAACAAAGTACAAAGAAATTGGAATGCAGCGACGTATCTCGTGCGGGTCCCACCGGTCGAGAGAAGACAAAGAGGATAGGAGAAGTAAGGGAAGAGGGAGGGAAAGAAAGAAAGTCAAAAAGCCGACGAGAAGTTCTGCTTCTTTTCTTGATCACGACATCCATACGGCTCCTGTTGTTATATTGCTGGACGAAGATACGGGTGCAGCAGTATCGCTATTGGTATATTTACCGCAACTTTTAAATTTTCCTCGATTTTTTGTTTTCGAGGGAAGTGTTCATACACATATTTCTTGAGGCGAGACTTGCGAACATTGAGATATTTGTTGCATTCGGAGATTGATTGATTGACTGATTTGAAAGAAATCGTGTTCGAGGGAAACAAATCAGAGGACGAGAAAATAGGCAAGCATGGAACACGAAGGTCGCGCCGGGAAGTCTATGCAGGTTATTGTTTTGGTAAGTGGAAATCCGAGGATTATCTTTCTTTTGACTGCCAGTTTATGTAATGTTTGTATCCGTTCCTTCTGAGTATGTATGCGAAGCGGGCAACTGCATGAAGGAGGAAGGGATCATGGGGTTGTCATTATATGCAGTTGATGCTTATTTCGAATCCATCTTTTGCGTGATGGTTGGACGGTGCCGGTTGAATGGCTTTGTTCGGATGCGGGTGCATACATATATACCCAAGTCTGGGCATTTACCGATTTGGGGGTATTTTGGCAAGGAGTCACGTGCTATATATGTGCCACTTTTAAGATATCGTCGTGGGGAGACGCTCACTTGTTGTCAATTTCGCGAATCTACTACTATTATCAAGATCTGTGCTTGAAATCCTTTTGCCGTTTATATGATATGAAGTATATCATTTTGTTAGGGAAAATGCTAATAATCAATATTAATAGGGAGCCAGTGGAGGTCCTTTGGAATATGATTGTACCGCATTACTAGTACGATCAGTCTCATTAGGATGGAGTAAAGGATCTATTCTGGCTGTAGATGCTGGAGTTCACCTCTCGGCCATCGACCGAATTCTCCAAGACCACAACCCTCCAACAACTGAACGACCATATTTGCTAAAAGAGGGGGCATTTGCAGGCCTAGAACTTCCATTCAGAACTACTGAGGCAAATGCTGCTTACATAGCACGTACTATGGTTGGGGCTCATCTCATCACTCATCCGCATCTTGATCATATTTCGGGCGGGGTAATAAGTACCGCCAGTCCCAGTTCTAAACCGAGAAAAATTGCGGGATTGGCAAGTACGATTGAGGCGTTGAAAGATCATATCTTTAATGATGTTATATGGCCGAATTTGTCAGATGAAAATGGTGGTGTGGGATTAGTAACTTTCATGAGGTTGATTTCGGGGGGTTCGTCGGTTTTGGGAGATGGACCTACGAAAGGTTATGTGGAGGTTGTAGATGGACTGGCCGTTAAGTCTTGGGCTGTTAGCCATGGGCCTTGCATTGGGAACTTTCCTTGTATGTATTCCCCATTTTACTTCTTGAGAATATAGGATTGCGGATTGGATGTTGGTTTGTTGAACTACTTATTTTTGTCTCCATCACTTGCTTTTTGCCTGCTACCTCTACAATGTACTAAAAAGCGCTTCATTTACAGATCAACCAGGAAGAAACCACATCAACGAAAGCAGCAGTCCTCGTACTCCAACCCAAAAATCCAGCAGCCACTCCCACCGCAGTCACTACTCTCCGCTCACCACACCTCAAGTTTCATCAGAAAGTCTCAATTTTCCCTCCGCCGAGTCTGTCCATGCGTACACCAGTTCTGTCTGCTTCATTCACGACATTGCATCTGGTAACGAAATTCTCATTTGGGGGGATGTAGAACCCGATACCGTTTCTTTCTTCCCACGCAATAAACAAGTATGGCAAGATGCCGCTCCCAAAATCGCAGCGGGAATACTCAAAGGGATTTTCATCGAATGTTCATATGACGATAGTAGACCGGATGATTTATTATTCGGCCATTTGACACCGCGCTACGTCGTTGAAGAATTAAAAGTTCTCGCTGCCGAAACGGAAAGATGTCGCGAGGATCTGCGCAGACGCAGGAGCGATCGTGCTCTGAGCAGTTCTTCTCCATCGGATACGCTGAGGAAATCGTTCACGACAAGGGAGAAAGATAAGAAAGCTCACCTGCCTCTCGCTACCTCGGCTAATTATATTTCTTCGAACCGAAGAACCTTTGGGTTGGATGTTCTGAAGGGTGTTAAGATTATACTTATTCATGTGAAGGATCAGTTGGATGATAGAGAGGATCCGAGAGTGAAAATATTGAGGGAGTTAAGGGAATATGAGGAGGAACTTAACTTTGGGTGTGAGTTTGTGGTTAGCGAGAGGGGGATGAGTGTGTTCCTGTAGTGTGGCTTTGGGTTTGGACTGTTATTGTGGGGTGTGACTGGGGCTGGGCGTTTGAGGATGGGTCGGTTGTTTGCTTGCTTCAAGTATGCATTTCTTGCCTGATGGGATGGTAGTACTCTTGTGTATCTTGGTCGGACGTTTTTTTATGGGAGAACATTTCATGAAAGGACGGCTGGCTGATTAAATTTCTTGCAAGTCTTAAGACAAGGTAGGTATATAGGTGTAAAGGTTTTGCAAAGTGGTATCTATATACAGTCGGTTTAATATATAACTAAATGATTTTCTGCTTGATATTCTATCCTTCTTCCATAAGTTACCAACAGTCTATAGTCCCCATCCTCTCAACGTCAACGTATAAGTAAATCATTGATCTTCAAGCTTAGGCTTCACCAATTTCTTCGCCTCCTCATCCTTTCCAACAGCAGTATCATAATCCGGTCTCGGGATTTCTGTTCCATCTACAGTTCTTCCATAAGTAATTCCTCCCAATCTCGAAATTGGTTTTAGGACTGCGGGATCAACAATATTCTTCTCTTCATTAATAGCATTTTCCCTAACCCAGAATCTGGTTCCCTCAATAATTGCCAAAACTCCTGTTTTCTTGCCTGGCGTTGCTTTACTCTCGAATTCCTTCAAACTCTCTAATTTTCCCTCCACACTGAAATGTGATTCTAATACTCTACTCGTCTTCACAGTTGTACACGGAGCGGGTGTAAGCCCACTAAACGCCCATTCCGATTCGCCATACGGTGCATTGATCGAAGTCGAGTTTGCGGCTTCGATGAAATGTTCCGAGATGATATTGATGGTGCATTCACCCGTCTCCTTGAGATTCTTCAACGAATCTTTCGCATTCTCTAATCCTCCTGAATATCCCAATGTGAAAAGTGGGGGATCGTGATTAATCATGTTGAAGTAACTAAACGGAGCTAGATTTGTCGATTTCCCGTCCGCGCTGCGCGTACTGACGAATCCGATAGGCCGCGGAATGATGGAGGAAATCAGCAACTTGTAGTTGTAGACAGCGGGTCGACCTTCTTCATAAGGATCGATTTCGACATGTGGGATCTTGAGAGATTCGCCGTTGTCGTTGGCGCCAGAACCGAGTTTCCAGGAGGGAGATATGGTTTGTGTGACGTTCCAGGATCGGGAGGCGTCCCATGGTGAACGAGATGCTTCGACGGCTTTGAAATCACGGTGCGGGTTGCGGTTGATGAGCTTTTCGGCATCGGCTCGTTGTTGGGTTGTGGAGGACATGGTTGCTGAAGGATGGAGATTGGAAATGAAAATGGGTTTTCTGGGCGAGAAGAAGTGGTTGAGGTTTGATTGAAGTGAGGGACTTGTTGATGGGAGATACAATTAGTAAATAAACTAAATAGCGGGGAGATAGCGGTACTACAGAGAACGCCGTCGAAGGTGGATGAATATATGCGTACGTACCGGTCTGAAGCTTTAAATACTTGTCTGACTCTCAACTTCCTAATTGACATTGATGATGGGTAATTAATTGATTTGTTACGAGGGAAACACAAAATATATATCTGCCACGCAAACTTGGAGAATACTGGTATGGATTTTGTAAAACCGATGCAAATATTTGATGTGACTGTTGTTCCGCCACCCATTTCGTCACAGCGGCTTTCATTCCGCCTTAAGAAGCTGTGGAGATTTAAGCTGATAGATAAGGTTAAGGTTGATGACCCCGCACTGATAAGAGGAGGGAGGGATGGAGGGACGGAGGGAGAAGTTCGGGAAGCTACGAAACGGGAAGGAAAGGAATATACCAGCAAGGCTAGAATCGGGCGAATACTTATTACTATCGATAGATGGGGCAATCTAGTTACATAAAGATCATTATGAAGAGAATAAGTTAATCTTCAGTTTATTTATTCTTGAAGCTATTCAGAGAACGACAGTAAGGTTAAACTCCGAACATTTGAAATCAATAGTCAATTGGTCAGCAGTGAGCACTACTCCCCATTCCTGACAAATAATAATTGACTTTGTATCTGTCGATATATCTACTTATCTACTCGCCAAATATCACAAGTACATCTGAGAGCTACAATACCTAGAAGCTGATAAATCACTAAAGGCAAAGGAAAACATCCAAAATCAAGCAATCACATTAGACAACATAAGAAGCTTCATAAAAAATGGATTCTCTACCTTCTCAACTCTCTTCCCTCAAATTAGCACCCGGTGTTCAGAGATACTCTCTCGGAGATTGGAAGCTTCAATCTGGCCAAGAAATTCCTGATGCTCATATTGCATTCAAGACATTTGGAGACCCAAGTTCCCCTGCTATTATCTATCCTTCTTGGTTTTCTGGAGGTGAGTGTTGAGATCGGTGCTATCTGCATATATATCTACATGAAAGCTGGTATCTTCGCAGTTAAAGTCATGTTAAAAGGCAAGATATACAAAGTTCGTTAACGCTAAAAGTAAATAGCAATCGCGGACAACGAATGGCTCATCGGAGAAGACCAAGTATTGAATCCCAAGAAATACTTCATAATCATCACCGCACTTTTCGGAAACGGAGAATCAACCGTAAGTTTACCCTCCCATTCTCATTCCCCATCCCCACTGCCCCTATAGTACTTACACGAAAAAAGTCTCCATCCAATTCCTCCATCTCTCCTTTCCCAAAAGTAACCTTCTATGACAACGTCCGCGCTCAACATACCCTCGTGACCTCCCATCTTCAAATCAGCCATGCGCGCGCTGTGATCGGTTGGTCTATGGGCGCAGGTCAAACTTATCAATGGGCCACCATGTATCCCACATTCATGGATATCTGTATCCCGTTTTGCGGATCTGCAAAAACAGCTCTTCATAATCAGGTCTTTTTGGAAGGTGTTAAATCTGCATTGTTAGCTGCTAAGAGTCTTTCGAGTGCGGGATCCAAGGAAGGTGTTGTTGTGAAAGGAGACCGAGACGAAGTGAGGGTTTGGAGTCAAGAGGAAAAGGAGGTGGGATTGAAGGCCTTTGGTAGGGGGTATGCTGGATGGGGATTCAGTCAGGTGAGTTGATATTGGCAACCTAGGGGATGAAATTACAGTGATTTGACTGTAAGAGCATACTAATCCTATCGTAGGCTTTCTATAGAAAGGAACTTTTCAAGACCATTCTAGGATTCAAAGATCTCGAAGATTTCATGCAAAATTTCTGGGAGAAGTGGGCCCTTTCGAAAGGTACCTCCTATCAATTTTTTCCCTTCCCTCCCCAAATCATCAAACTCCTCCCGCTCTCCCAATCTAACACTTCCGCCCACCAAAAAACAGATCCAGAAAACCTCCTAACAATGCTCCACACCTGGGCCGCGGGCGACGTCTCCAACCAATCTCCCTATCATGGAGATTTCGCCGCTGCAATGGGAGCTATCAAAGCCCAGATGCTTGTTCTACCCGGAAAAACTGATCTGTATTTTCCGTATGTATTTTATCTTTCTTTTCTTTCACCTCTTCCCTTATCTACTCTCCTTTCTCCCTTCTTCTTCCTCCTTCCTCCTTGTCTTTCCCCTCCTCCAACAACCCCCACTAACACCCCCTAGACCCGAAGACTCCGAAATAGAAGTCTCCCTCATGCGCCCCGGCATCGGCAAACTCGATGTTTTCCCTAGCATATGGGGACATTGGGCTGGAGGGCCAGGTGATTCAAAGGAAGATGTCAAATGGCTCAATGAGAGGTTGGTTGAAATCGGTTTGTGAATTTTGGTTTTCTTTGGAAGGGTGGATTCTTTTATTTATGAGGGTTTGGGTCACTCGAGAGGGGAGGCCGATTGTTTAGCGGAGCAAGTGGTGTAAAATTGAGCATGGCAATGGATTTTCGCTTGATGCTTAATCACTGTTGAATGGATGTTATTGGCGAGTATGAGATTTATCATTATGGCAAGTTTACATGCTGAATGATCATTACATGTACCTAGGTATGTATGAGTATGTGTGTGTTTGAGATTCGTGACTACGTACAGTATACCATGTCTCTTAGATTGCACAACCGAGTACCGAATACCGGACGCCCTCAGCTCACCTATCCTGGAAATGCTATCCAAGAACTATCTATCCATCCCATCCCTTTATCTCCATCTCTCCTCTTAAACTTCCACACTTCACTCATTTGCCAAAACTTCTCCATTCCTATCCCCTACCACCGGTACAACAACCGGCTTCTCACTATCCGCACTAACCCTAGCACTCTCTCCCGCAATCTTACCACCCATAACTAACGCGCTCTTTGCACCACCACCACCACCACCACCAACACCAACCCTTTGACTGCCACTAACACTCCCCATACTACCTCCCCTCTTCCTACCTGTTCCCTTGAAGTTTCCCGTCAGCTCTTCCCTCACCTCTCTCATTATTTCCTCTCCGCGTATTCCCAATCTGCCCATTCTTCCCACCAACAGCGTATTTTCCCTCTGTACACTACCCACCTGATTTCTCAGAACCTCCTTTTCCCTCTTCAGAACTTCAATCTGGGCCCTCAAACTAGCATTAATCTGTTGTAACTCCTCTCCCTTTTCCTTTTCATCTCTCTTCTTCCTTTTCTCCTCTTGTTTCTGTTCCTCCCTCAATCTTCTCCTTTCCAATTTCTCCATTTCCTTTTTATGTTTTTCCTCTATCTTCTTGACCTCTCTCTCATGTTTCTCTTCCGCTTTACTAATTGCTTCTTTCTCTTTCCCACCATCTTCACTCTTCTTATCCGCTTCTTTTTGTTTCGCTTTCTCCAATTTTTCGTAAAGTTTTCGTTTCTTATCCTCGAGTTTCTGGAGCTCTTTATCCTGTTGTAAATTTACCTTTTCGACTACAGCCGAATCTTGTGATGATACTTTTCGGAAGGACAGAGCTGATTCAAAACTATCGACTGTGGATTCGCTAGAAATAGATGAGTTGGATAATGATCGAGAGCGAGTAACGGCAGCGGAAGTTTGAGCAGAAGATTGTTCGCTAGTAAGTTGTAGAGGTCCGGGATTTTGGGCCGAGGGAGATTCGGTGGCAATAGGTAGACGGTCTGCAATCATCGCTGGTGCATATGGAGCGATTAAAGCTCCGGCTGTAGTTGCTACTCCTGCTACCATGTCGTGTATTCCACCATTTGTGGGTGATTGTTGTGCTGGCACTGCAGGCCTTGTTGGGCCAGCAGCTACAGGTGTAGACTTTTCTCCTTGACTATGTATACCAGCAAGATGGCCGTTGGTTTGATAATTATGTAGATCTTTTTCGTGATTATGGTGATGGCGATACCGATGCTCACGTTTTCCTTGCTCTGTTGTGTCATCTTCCTCTACAAGTTCTTCAGTAGGTTCATCATCATCACTATCCAAATCCTCGATCGTTTTCGAACATGCCCAGTCCAAAAATTTACCTGCATCCGAAACAATAGCTGATGGTGTTCCGCGATCAATCATAAATCGTGGTATACCCCCACCAGGATCACTTCTGGTAACCATAATCCACTCAACAGGATTTTGCTCCCATTTATCATCCTCATTTGGCACAGAAGATTTCTCCTCCTTTACAGCTTGAGCCAGATTACTATCGGAACGTGAAGCTTGCTTATGAAATTCGTCTCTTTCTTCCTCTGTACTGGATGAATCATGCTTTTGAAGAGCATTCCTCAAAACGGCTTGTTTGCCTAAATTCGAAGCGGACCTATCTCTTGTATGTCCCTTTGTAAGATCAGATGAAGATGCTGATCTCTTGGGAGGCGGTTTCTTAATTGGTATTTCTCGAATAAATTCAACAGATTCATAATATCCTCTTATAAATCCATCACGCGATGGAGTATCTGGATGTTGACATGGTCTCGATATTACCATGAAATGGCGGGGTACCTCGTTGTTATTTTGTTCCTTGAGCGCTTGATCTGAGGAGATAAACATGGTGACAAAATCTCTCGGGGTTGTTGGTCCTGGAAATTGTGCTGATAAAAGATATACTGATATCCATTAGACCGTTGTCCCTCATCCCAATTTATTATAAACATACCTTCCATTTTCCCGGTTCCAGAAACGTTATTGTACGCTACTCTCTTCTCTCCACCAATTCCTCTAATATTACCTTCACCTGGACCCCCTTGAACCTTTAGGGTTTCTGGAAATTCCCTCTCCAAACCCCTCTTCCATTTTGTAAATCCCAGTCCTTCATGTACACTCCTCCTCGCAAACCAAGTGCCCTTTCCATCTTTTCCCTTACAAGAATATACACTTATGCCCAGTGGGTTATCAGCCGGCCTCAATTTTATTTGTTTCCACTCCTTCTGAAGAGATTCGATATCGTGAGGTGGGGGCGGAGATCTAGCATCAGATGCGAAGATTTCGGATGCTGAGGATGCAACTGAAGATGTTGTATTCGACCGCGGACGACTGTTGGAAGACTCAATACTGTCGGGTATAGGGACTGAATCGATTATCAATTGAGCGCTGTTGAATGCATCTGATAGGAATGGGTTTAAATTATTGGTAGGGGTATCGTCGTACTTCACCGCGCCCAGCGATTTGAGAGCTTCATGAAGAGCTGACATTGCGTTTGCTGTTTGGAGTCTTTGTTTCTTTGTTTCTTCAATCAAGAAGAAAATGTGTAATCTCTGAATTCGACACAAGGCTATGGATCAGGGAGATGTAGACAACAAAGCAGAAAATACCGCTCAAGAATTCTAGGCAAGATGTGGAATGAGTCTCGAGAGTCGTGGAGGTTTTGGGTATATTATGTATGCGGTTGAGTTCAATAAATAGCAAGTTAGTAATGAGTAAGATGTAGTAGACATATGGGATTTGAGATTTGAATAGATTGAGTAAATGGCATTCAACAAAGGATGTGAGATTGCCAGGGATAGGGGGGTAGGTATTTCATCAAACTTTGGAGGTATCTGGAATCCGGATGTATTTACTTACTATTGTCTCCCTTCCAAGTTAGTATTCAATTACCCAATATGTATAAAATCAATACACCGGTATCAATACATCATTAAATAAGTAGAAAATCGATAAAACTATCTACCCAAGTAGTATTCCATAAAATATATATTCATCTACCGGTATACCGTAAGTTATTGCGGTAGGTTATTGCGGGGTGAAATACAAATCATTTACAATATGATTGGTCTAGCTCTTCATCATTCAGTAGAAACTAGATTTCTATCTCTTGTAAAACGCTTTGACGGCATTTCTCAAGCACAGACAATGAAATAGATAAAAATACATGAATGCGTGAATACGTGAATACGTCAGTAATACGCGGAGATAAATTCAAGTGTCTACGAGTTTGGGTGGGTGTTCGGAAATGAAAATACACTAAAAGGGGGAAAACCTCCGGGTAGAAAAGTGCTCAATTGATTGAATTCATCCAATGTTTGTGCACGAGAATTTTGCTTCGAGTAGCTATGAAAGTCTTGGAGGAGTATTTGTTAAGTTATGTATTATTCATTTATGTACAAAGTAAATGCAGTGAGTGAGAGTGACTACTTTTACCACACCAGAAAATCCATCCGTGGCTATGCAAAAAATTGGACTCTTATCCACCCACCAAAACCCAATGTTCTTGTACCCAACGCCTTGCTCAATAGATATGCTGCGATAAGGCTGATTAGGTGAATAATGATGCCAAAGATATCGCAGTGTAGATACATATTTAGTGCTCTCAACCGAAAGTTACACCCTCCTCTCCTTGTGTGAGCATATCCTGTTCTGCTTTACAGCTACCACAATACTCCTGATGCCACTTTCTGAGTTCATTCATTTTATCATCCACCTGAAGAACTTGTTGGCTTGAACCGCCCTTGACTTTACTACTTGATAGACTATTCGTCTGGTCCTCTCGCAACATCATTTGAGCTTGTTTGCATCTCATGTTCTCATCCAGGAGCCAATTCTCCCATTCTGCTTTTAGCACATTTCTCTCGACATTGTTGACCACTCTCATAGCGATCATTAGATCGTATCTGTATGAGCCCAAGTGCTGACGGGTTCTTCGAAGTCTCTTAGCTGTTGATTTAGTTGATGTTTTGGTGAATGGTGACCCTGCCATCTCATAGGGAGCGTTCAGATCCGTAACATTCGCGATTTCCATAAATTGCGCGTAACTATTGAGTTATATTAGCGTATTTTCAAAGGTTGGGGAGTTAGTGGATGCCTACCATTTGCTTTCATGGTGACTCTGGACTCCCGTGGATAGGTTATTCACAGCTTCGTCAAGATCTTTCAGATAAATTGCTTTGCTCATGCTTGGATTAGGACCGACTCCCATCCGACTCATGAATTTTGCTGCATTCCGTTCTGTCCACCATTCTGATGTATCGCGTCCAGTAAGGAATGCGTTTATCAAAATGCTCATTATCAGTGCAGTCAAAATGATAGTGTGGGCACTGGATATTTTCCATATGGATCGGAATACCGCAAACGTCCACATCATCACCGATGATATACAACTCTCACCAAACGAGCTGAGTGTCTCGAGTAACATATCTGTGAGTGTACGTTGCTTAATTTGTGGTCGTTTGGACTTGCTTGCGTCGTTGGCCGAAAAAAGTGAGACTGTTTTTTGATGTCCTACATGTCCATAAATGTGAATAGCCTTCTTTGTCCTGCTATTTGGTCCCAACTTTTGAACTTGATCAGCAATAACATCAGCCAAATCTTCGGCATCCATTGCACAATCATCGAGAGCCTGTCTCTCAACTAGACCTTTTCCGATTTTCGGGGACTTTG